GTAAGCTTCAGGTTTGGAATCATAGGTGATAATGCCGTTTGCACCCCAACATCCCAGTGTCTGAAAGAAGATCCAAAACATACTTTCTCTGAGAAAGAACAATACCTCTGCTTCTACGGGCAACCTCAATCCCAAGAAAGTATCGCAGAAATCCAAGATCCTTCACATCGAAGGTCTTCCCAAGGTCTATCTTGACCTGCGCAGTCCCAGAAACATCATCACCAGTAATAATAATATCATCAACATATACCAGAAGGATGACACACTGTCCAGAAGTATTCCGTCGAATAAAGCAGGTATGATCAGAATGACACCTGGTGAACCCCAATCGTATGACTACATCACTGAAGCGAGAGAACCAGGCTCGTGGCGACTGTTTCAGTCCATAAAGAGACTTACGCAGTCGACATACCTTTCCAGCATACTCCACCTCACCACGAAAGCCCGGTGGTGCATCCATATAAATAATCTCGTCCAGATCACCGTGAAGAAACGCATTCTTCACATCTAATTGATGAAGAGGCCAAGAGTACTCCGCAGCCAGAGAAATAATTAACCGAACAGTAGTCAATTTTGCCACGGGGGCAAATGTAGCACCAAAATCACGACCTGGTACCTGAGTAAAGCCCTTCGCCACAAGTCTAGCCTTGTAACGATCAATAGTACCATCCGCAAGAAACTTCAGGGTGTAAACCCAGCGACAGCCAACAGGCTTCACCCCTGAAGGTAAGGAGACAAGATCCCATGTATGATTACGCTGAAGAGCGTCCATCTCTGTCTGCATGGCAAGAACCCACTGGGGCTCCCGCATAGCTTCCGAAATAGAGCGAGGAACCAGCGTATCTGATAAGGCCATAGTATAAGCTCGAAATGTGGGAGACAGATTACCATAAGAAACATAAGCAGAGATCGGATATAAAATCTTGGCGGTCCAACCATATCGATCAACTGGACGGCGATCACGCCTTGGATAACGACGCCCTAAATCACCATCCTCTACTGATAATATCTTATCAGGTAAAGTAACTGGCTCAGCACCTGTAATCTCATCAGTACTAACAACAGGTGCATCAATATGCTCAACAAACTGAGAAGTATTACCTGCATCGCCTGAGGTAGAGGGGATATCAGCAGGGTGATGAGAGCGAGGACAACGAGCATACACCTGCAAAGGAAGAGAGACTGGTAACTCTGTACTGACAGGGATGAGTGACTCCTTTGGAGGAAAAACGGATGACCCTGTAGGGATAGTGATCAATGACTCTGACTCTTGTGGTAATGGAAAATCAAAGGGAGTATCATCAACTGGAGGGGCAGACAAAGGACTGAAAGGAAAATAAGGAATATGCTCAAGAAAGGTAACATCTAGACTGTGATACATACGACGCCTAATAGGATCATAACATCGATACCCCTTAGATTGATGACAATAGCCCACAAAGATACAACGAATCGCTTTATCATCAAGTTTATGACGAGTAGGAGACCGATCCTGAACAAAACATGTGCATCCAAAAACACGAGGGGGGACCGAAAAAAGTGTCCGCTCAGGAAATAAGACCTGTAAGGGAGCCTTATGCTGAAGAACACGACTCGGCGTACGATTGCACAGAAAGGTAGAAGTCAAAACAGCAAAATGCCAATAAAATTTTGGTACCCTCATGCCTCTAAGCAGACAACGTACCATCCCTATCAAACTCCTATTTTTCCTCTCAGCAACACCATTTTGCTCAGGAGTATATGGATAAGTGAGTTGCTGAAGGATACCCTGAGAAGAAAGGTGAGACACTAAAGCATCAGACACATATTCTTTGGCATTATCCGAACGAAGAGCACGAACAATGACATCGAATTGTGTCTTAATCATCTGTAAAAACTGAGTGATTATAGGGAGCACATCAGACTTCCTATGCAAAAGGTAGACCCAAGTACAACGGGTATGATCATCTATAAATGTCACATAATATCTGGCACCTGACAGAGCAGTAACGGGAGAGGGTCCCCAAATATCAGAGTGTATTAGGTCAAATGGCTTGAGTGACTGGTGTATGCGAGGAATATAATTGGCCCTAACATGTTTTGATAGGGAACAGATAACGCAATCAAGTTTACCACCAACACAAGCATTACTCAAAGCAGGAAACAACATACATAAATATTTAAAATTTGTATGTCCAAAACGGTCATGCCACAATTGAACAGTTTGTGACGAAAAATCATAACGACAACTACTAGGTAAAATACTAGCATGCAAGCTAGGAACAGAAAAAGACAAAGCAGGTGCAGGTGAAGGAATTGGTGAACTGCCAAGATAATACAGTCCATCTTTCTCATGTCCCTTGATAATAATCCTCCTGGTACTCAGGTCCTGCAAATAACACAAATCAGATAAGAATACAACCGCACAGTGAAAATCTCTGGCTAACTGATGTACAGATAATAGATTCATGGCCAACTTTGGCGCATGAAAAACCGAATGTAATGTAACGCCATCTGGGAGACGGACTGTACCCCTACTAACAATAGGGGCATGTGTTCCATCTGCTAACTGAACCTGTGTATGTAATGGCTCGTCAAAAGTGGTGAAGTGATGGGCCTCACCTGTCATGTGACCATTCGCACCCGAGTCCAACATCCAAAGGGGAGATGAACTGGCACAAGCGTGAAAGGCACGAGATATACCTGTAGTGGTGACAGCAGCAGTAGTCAGACTCTGAGAAGTCAGAGCAGACATAAGTATATCTAATCGGGAAGTGATAGCATCCATATCACTTTGCCAAGGAGGAGCAGTAGCAGGAGTGGCAGTAGTGGGCGGTGGTACCTCAGCAATAGCAACAGTACGGCTGCGAGAAGGTGGCTTAAGCTCTGGATGGAGCTTCCAGCAAGTAGCCCTGAGATGTCCTGGTCGGCCACAATAATCACATTGACGGGAATCCCCCCGTCTGCGCTGATCTGGGGCGCCCTGACGGCACTAGTCTGAGCGTTGCCTATCCCTGACTAAGGATCCTGAACGGGACCCTACAGCAGCTGCAAGGGCCATCTGGTCAATCAAAGGAGGCAAAGCTGCAACTGGAAGTGATGCAATACGGACTCGACGTTCATGCTGCTCAATCATCCCATACACCTCATAAAGAGAAGGAAGTGTCAACATCGACAAGATCTGAGAATGAGGTCCCTCAAACTCATCACGAAGCCCCATAAGGAACTTGTGAATCCTATCCTCCTACTCTCGAGTATGCAAGAATGCTGCTCCCTCGGGCTCTATCTTCGGAATAACAGCAAGAGGACGTAGAGACTCATACTCAAGCCAGCGCTGGGTCAAATAGCCATAATAATCCTGAACGGTCATATCTCCCTGCCGAGCATATGAGAGCTCCTGAGAAAGCTCATAAACACGAACTCCCCGTCCTGACTGAGAATACATCTCTGATAATGCGCTCCATAGCTTCGAAACAGAGCTATGAAACTAGTGGATCCTGCAAACAGAGGGCTCCATTGAGCCAAATAACCATCCAAGAATGGCACAGTTTTTAGAGAACCATGCAGAATATCCAGGGTCGGCATCAGCTGGCTTTGGGTGAGATCCCGTCAGCCAACCAAGCTTCCCTACACGGCCTAAGAAAAGCTGGAATGAGCGTGACCACTCAGCGAAGTTACGACCATTCAACAATTGTGCCGTAACTTTTTGAGAGATCATGCCCGGTAATGCTGGTAATGCAACTGTGCTAGTAGGCACTGTATACTGGTCAAACATAAAAGTGGAAGTACCCATAGATGTCTCAACGATAGAGGTGTCAACAGTAGGGTTCTCAAGTCCCTCAGTAGTAGTCATATCAACAACAATACTAGGGCACCCGTGACAGAAAAATAACTCTAAGATAAATAGAGGAATAAAATAAGGGAGAACAATATACCTTCAGTCGAACAGTAGCGACAAATAGGGAAGGTCCAAAAAGCTCCCAAATAATCAAGTCACGGTGCCCAGAAATCCAAAATATATAAATAAGTGATCTACTGCATCAAGAGCAGATCAATGGAGAAGATGATTCATCCCCACTTAAAAGGTCTGATGCTGCGGCACTACAACAGAGTGAAAATCGAAGGCAAAAATACAAAGCTGTGACAAAGTGTGCGATAGGTAGTAGGCTGATCTGGGTTTGGGCAGTGGGGGTTTTGTGGGTCGCTGGTCTGGGTTTGGGTGTGGGTAGTCGGTTGTTGGTGTGGGCAGTCGATTGGATTGAATTTTGGTGTAGGCAGTCGGTTGTTGGTTGCTGTCGGTGGTACCAGGCAGTAGCTTGTCTGGTTTTGTCGCTGGCGGTGTGGTCTGGTTCTGATGGGAGGCTGGGTTCCTTTGCTGGTTTGAGTGGGTCGATGGAATGGGCTGGTGTGTGGTTTTGTTGGTGGCCTGGTGTGTTGGTGGCTATCTGCTGGAGTGGTCTGGTGTGTTTGGTTTGTCGGTTTTGCTGGTGGGCAGTGGTGTCGGTGGCTGGTATGTGGGTTCTGTCGGTGGGGCTGCTGGGTTGATGCAGGCTGCTGGGTTGATGTATGTGGGAGTGGAGGCTATCGTCTCGCTGGTTGCGTTGTTTGGTGGAGGCTAATGTTAGAATTAGGGTTAGGGTTAATGGCTCTGATACCAACTTGAGATAGTTGTGAATGTAAAGGGATACTCTAATTAAGAGTAGAACCCCGTATATATATCCAAAAATAATACAGAGTGACTTAAACATCTTTGTAGTTTAAGCAAAATATAAAAATCATAGTAAGGGTAAAAAAGGGAAAAGAAATCCTAATAAACTTAGACTATCTATACTCCAACACTGATATCAGCTTGTACGACTGAGTTATTTTGCGAAGAAATGAAATTCTAAAAGTAGAAAATAAAGGGTAGGCTGACCAAATGAAAGGTAAAGAAATCATAGTTGTGTTAATCAACAAGAAAGAATCCAGCAGTGCAAAGCAGAACTACAAGACCCAGCAGGTGTTGGTGCTAAGAGACTTACTTTATCATCAAGTAGCGTGAAGGTAACTGTGGCAAGGGTGCATTCCCTTTCCTAAGACAATTAGTCACAACAATCAACATGTAAGAAAATGGTAGGACTAAGTAACTGCAATTAAGATTGTTAGATGAAGTGCAGGAGGAGTTGAATTGAATCTCACTGTTTATCAGAAGCAACTAATGAAAGCCAGATTGGAGTAACTCTTGTCTCCGATCTCCTGTTCGTGGTGTCAACAACTTCTTGTGCCGGAATGTTTAATCCCTCAGAGGCAACTTCTCTTTTTTTTCGACCACGCCTCATTTTTCTAGGTTTGGTTGAACCTGATGGTGCTGCAGTTGTAGTATTTTTGCTGTCTTTGGCACATTCCTTACCTTTGCCTTTAGGTACATCCTCATGAACATTAGGCAGCGCTGATTTCATAACAGAACCTTCCAAGTGTGACATGTTAGACTTTGTCATACCCCCAGCTTCTACCAGGCAATTCAGAGGTTTCCACAAATCAGTCATTCCATCAAATGGTTCGCCTCTCTGCTCTGTAGTAGCTTTGTCAGGCATGTGTTGCTTAGAGGACTCAACTGCAGAATTCTTCTGCAGCAAGACAATGTTAAGCAAAATGCTGTTATTGAAAAAGGTATAATGACAAACAAGCAATGCACAGAGACTAGCCTGCTTTTTATCCTGCATAATCTTGTTTAGAGTCAGAGGAGAATTTGAGCTCTCAGGGCGTTCATCCACTTTTGTAATTGGCTCCTCAATGGGCAGAGTGGATGTGGATCCTCCAAAAGCTGTAGCCTTTCTTGCAGAGTGTTTTCTTCTTCCACTCCTAGCAGAATTGTTTGCTACTCCAGGAGTACTCACTAAGGAAGATAGAGACCTCTCCTTTCTCCTAGGAAACAGAGGTATGGAGGGCACAACTTCAGGTTCCTTAACTTCTCTTCTTGTAGCTTTAGCTTCGCTTGCGGTTCCTTTTGCAAGTTCATGTTCCTTAGTTTTCATTTTCGCAAAAGTCTTGATACTTGTTCTAATATCTTGCACATCGTGGTCCATCCTGCGGGTCAGCAACAAAGAGAAAATTTAACAAACGTATACCTCTGCTCTAATTTCTATTTCTGTTTTGCGAATTGCTTTATGTGGAGTTAACCAGAAACTAATGTAGCAACAAAGTTATACGTTAAGGTATTAAGCTGGTATAGACAGGTTTGAGGATGATACTTTTACATAAGTTCCCACAATATCTCGCGAAGATACAGAGGCAGAGACGAAAGTGAAGGTAGAGTTATGGCTTTGATATTTTCGGTAACAGCCTAATGCTATCTGCAATATCCACCACCTCATTTTACGAAGTGCAGATGTAAGGACAGGTCTACTAGACAATTTATTAGCAATGTCCTGCACATTGCTTGATTGTTTACTTTGAACTATTTGCATAAATTGTTATCATTTGTAGAGTATTTTCGAGCAATATCCACTTAAAGCAATTGTTATTCTTGATAAGAAGATCAGTGCATGCATTAAGCAAATGACTAATGTGTAAAGTTTTAGAACGAAAAGCATGTGAGATACCTGAGTTTCTCCAGTGGAGCACAGCCTAGATCTTTGTCGCATACGGGGCAGTTACGCAAGTTCTCTTCTGTTATCTTCTTGCTGATGCATTTTCTGCAAACTGTTTCGGTAATCAAGAGAATCAAGCATCAAAAAATATTAGTTTCGGAGAGCTCAAACTGGCCAAAAAATGTACTACAAGTATAAGCTTGTCACAAACATGCACACCATGCAACCATGCATTGACTTCTCTAAAATCCCGAAGGGATCAATTGAAATTGCCACAACTGAGCACATATTGTAAACGCAGTTCAGTGAACGAGGTTTCATTCATTACGGTCTGCATGCGAAGAGATTATTTCTACCACTCAAACCCATGTCCGAGCCTCAATTGATCACACATTCTCATGCTCAAAGGAAAAGCACAGGAACTATTACAGTGTGGTGCTCTTTCATGTACAGAATCCAAGGCAGTAAAAATACTTTCTTGTCTTCCAAAAATACAACGTCTCTGTTGAGCCAAAGTTAATCCCGTAATTAAGCAAAGCAAATTTCCATGATATTCTCGCACAATTAATAATTTACCACAAAATAACCTTTAAATTATCAATATTTCTCTTGATCATCGAAGCCTGTAAGTTACAATCTGGCAAGTTCAAATCCATCGTTACTGCCAAACATAAATTCCTAAGAAGAAAGAACATTAAACTAGTCTTCACTAACCAGACAGCCAAGACCAAACTCATAAAATCCAAACGAAAGAAGACCCAAATCATAAAACCATAAATCATGCAAAACCCATATCGTAGAAATACCAGATTTTATGTTAAAAAGATCAAATGAAGGCAATCAAGTGAACGTAAACTGAGAAGAACTCAGATGAATCAGATCATAAACTAGTAACTTAAATTGAGATAAATAAGCAAAAAATTAAACGAAAATAACTGAGAGAAATAGAGAGAGATCTAGAAAGAGAAAGAGGACTTGCATGTGTGAAGGCATTCACAGATGGCGGTGGCATCTTTGAAGAACTTGTTACAGATCGGGCATGTCACGACTGACTTCAGCTTCTCGGCCCGAGCTTGCATGTCTTTGCTAATGCTCGCCATCACCAACACCTCTCTCTCTGTCTCTAAAGCGAAATCTGACGGTGATAGTTTATGGACGTAACCACATAAGATTGTATATTTGCATGTCAGCCAGGAAATACACCCAATAAAATTATGAGATTTCAATCATTCTACACGAGAAACCACGGAAATCACAAAAAAAAAAACAAAAAGAAAGAGAAAACGATTCTTTCCCGTCTCTTTCTACACAGATATGCTCTCTGTTTCTCACTCTACATATCTCGATCTAGAGAGAGGAAGCGGGTCATGAAGTGTGTGATCTAAAGGGATGGGTTTGGATTATTCAACGTGAACCGACGTGGGTTTTGTTGGAATTGGACAATGGAGGCTTGTGGATGATGATGATGACACTGATGATCTGTTTGAAGCTCTCTCACCATGAACTATGCTACGAACCAGACCGAGTTCGAGGCTTGCAGTCTTAAAACACTGAGGATGTGATAAATTACACTATTTCCCCCTATACTTTGAACCATGTTTCAATTTAGTCCCAAAACTTAATGTCGTATGTTGATTGTTTAACGAAGAAAAAAAATTATGTGACTAGCACATGACATAATAGTTTGATTAATTCAAAATATATATGTTTTCTTTAAGTTCGTGATCATTGCAAAAAAAAAAAAAATTATCTCTTTATATATAATCACGACTTGTTAAAAGTCTTACAGTACCCATCATCATTAGAGAGCCGCCTCCTCCACATAGTCACCAACCCACCACCATCTAACCCCTCCTGATCAAGATCTCCAACCCCACCATCCAAGCCCTTCATGGCAATCACCACCCATCACATATAGCCTAGTAACTCCCTCTTGAAAATATTATTACTTTCTCTAACAAGTTTAACTCTAAAATTGTTCATAGTCTATAGAGATACAAACATATGTAGAGGTATATCCTATGTATTGGTCATGGTGATGCCGTTTGAGACAATGTGTGCTAATCGTGGTTACAAGGAGGACAATTAGTGCTATAGTTTCTATCCAAAACCTAACACCAAAGAGGTGGATGAGCTAAATTGACGAAAGTGGAATTATTCGATGATGCAATTGAAAAAAACTCAAATTAAAGGGTTAAGCTTAAATTTGGTTCAAAACACGGGCTATTATGGTGTTTTTAGACATGTCGATCCATTCAAAGTTATAAGAGTCTCCAGCTGTATCGCGCACAATGCATAATTCGATTTCCTTCACACCCCGCCCTTACCGCACGTGGTGTGAGTAGTATGTTACGCGTAACGTAATAAGAAAAAGGTTTTAATGTGTCATTAAATAAATTAGTTATGGAAAGTGCATAAATTAAAAGAGGGGGTTGATGATAAAATGCGCTGGCAATTAGCATGAACTAAGTTGTGCACCTGTGCATGCATGGCTCTCGTGTGTAACGTAAGGGGTGAGTTTCACGTGGAAAAGGTGTACATGAAAGAAGTGGTATCTTATCACATCAGGTCAATGATATTGTGCCACGTGATATACGAGGATCTTCAACAATTTTATAAAACTAACCAAACGCCTATCATACAAACCTTCGTGCAGACAAGCAAGCGTAAGGGAAAGCAAGCAAATGAAGGAAGATATTAAGGGCCCACATAAAAAAGCAAAGTTTTGTAAACTCGACAAATCGCTAAAGTCGATTTACTTTATAAAAGATAGAGAAAAAACGAACGAGCTTTAAAATTGGGTACTACATATAAGTTGCATGGTACATAGCCGAAAATTGGAGGGCTCATACTACCTGCCTAACCCTTCACTCTTGGAGAGCATAGGTTGGATAGCGCCTTCTAAACCACCCCCTATCACTTAATTGAAAAAATCGAAATGAGATTACTAATAACAGATAGAGATTGAAGGTGGAACATATTTGGTGCCTCTTAGACAAGATTTCAAGCCTAAATACGAAACCGGGTGAATCTTGGGCCAATCTAAGACAGATAGGATTGTTTATTTTTTAAATAAACTCGAAAATAACACGACTGATTAAGATAAGTTTGAACAAGAATAACCCCATTTTTTCTATTGTTCCAAAGAATTGAGGAAGCATAACTGAAGGGTTTGAAAGCATGCGTAACTGGTCAATCAATGCATCATTCATTTATCTTCCATTTTCGTATATAGATATGATAATAAAATACGATAATTTAGTATTTCAAGATATTCACTCTGAGGTACACCGAATTCTTGAAATCAGGATTTTTTTCGCTAGCCAATCAAACAAATAGGCACGGTTGGCTTAGACATTTTCTTATTACTATATTATAACCTGCCATATACTTTATTATTCTATACCGAGTAAATATTGAGTGTAATGATAACACCATGTTATCATTAACACGTGGCGTCACTATTCAATAATAAACATATAAATGAGTAAGATAAATCTCACTTAGGTGGTGATTAAATGATATGGCAAGATGATTACTAAAATACGTAGGATCCACCTATTTATTTTTTATATTTTTATTAGACAATAAAATCACGTGACAATGATGACGTGGTATTATGATTACCCAATAATTTTTTTCATTCAACTAAACGTAATAAAAGTTGGAGCACTAAAAGCTTGGTTATGATTGAGAATATTGAAGTTGAACCCAAGTCAAAACCAAGCTAAAAAAAAAATTAAAAATTAGCCCTTGAACTTAATAATAAACCTCAAATTCTCAAAAACCAATTTCTCAAAGATATGTTTAATCAACCATAAAATCGAACCTTAAAATTTTCTAAAAATCTATTAGAAACGGATTGAAAAGAAGAATATCTGCGATCTAGAGCTACTTAGAGATAATTCATTTTCCTCGTAGAATTGACATTACTATTTTTTTTTTTTAAAGTGTGTTTTCAAAAATGCTTATCAAACATCCTTTTGTTTTTTTGCATTTACTTTAAGCTAAAAGGAAAAAATTGTCCAAAATTGTTTTTTTTTTTTTTTTTTTTTTTTTGGATTTGGTTTGAAAAAGTACTTTAAAAAAGTGTTACTAAACGGATGTCAAGACCTGCAAAAGCTAGTTGAAATTCTAGACAACAACTAATCTCTTCCTTAACGTTAATTACATGTAAATCGTTACAATGAACAACATCGAGTTTATGTAGATAAGTATAATATGGATAATTGGACCAAGATCATAAGAATAAAACGTTGCATTGTATATATCAGCTTACAATTCTGTGGTTTGCTACCCAAAATGGGCAAATGTGGTGCTAAAAATCAGTTTATTCTTCTTATTATCTGCTGGTAACACTGTTGCTCAGAAGACTTAAGATCCAACAAGGCCTTTAAACCGAGCATAAGACATGATAAGTCCAAACACCATGGCACAGAAAGTCCCTGTGACTATGACCACCTGCCAACAGCATCAGAGAGAGAATCATTTTGGGAGCTGAAATAGCACTGTCATAAGAATTAAACAGTATAATTCACCAGCCTGAAGTTGTATGCATACCCATTTAAACATGTAACCGTGTCCCGTATTCCAAGTATATGGGATGTTCATCCCAAATATTCCAGCCACCAATGAGTAGATGGCTAAACACACTGTTCCTGAACTTAGAAAGAGCTCTAACTGCAGTCACAAATAACACATAATAAATCCACAATATCTTAGACAGCCTCTTGTTCTGAGCTTCGCCCACGTGATTAAGTGACCCCAAAACAAACAAAAGAGAGAACCAACAAGATGATATTAATTTCATTTAGACTACAGTACCTGTATCAGTTGATTTCGATGATTGTCAAGCTGCAATGTAAAAAGCATTAGTTTTATACCAGAAAGCATCAACATTCAATGAAACAAACTTCTTTCAGCTTAATTGATTACCTGAATGTTTATATAATCCTCTGTATCATCAATATACTCACGCAACTGCAAAATTTTCAAGTAGAATGTTGGTTATAAAATACGTTAGTGTAGTAAAAAAAAAATTGTATGTAAAGAGACCATAAAGTTGGCAACAGCAGAATGTAGAATATACAGAGAAACATAGGAAAAATATGATTAACGAGAGAGAGAGAGAGAGAGAGAGTAATGAATGGAATTTAAACCCATGTTGATTTCCAAATGTAATGAAAAATTATTGGCCCCTACTTAAAACACTGCATACAAAGCTGAACATGTTAGCCAACACAAGATCATCCTGTAATTTTGCAACCTCAAAGAGGTAACAAAGACAATGATCCCTCCAAGTATTGAGATAACATCTGCCACAATAGTAACAAAGATGAAGAGAAAGAGGAAAGCAAGACACCTCATCTCACTGACTACAGCTCCCGGGAACATGCACTAAAGAAGTAATATACAGAATAGAAAGTTTAAAAAGCATATATCGAGCCTGACCATCTACAATGAAATGGATTAAGCCAACAAGTTTAAATGGCATGTACGGGATCTTGGTAGAACCAATACGTTGTGTGCCAAGCTGCTAAAAGGAAAATCAATTCCTTTTGCACCTGTAGCAATAAGGTTGTTGACTATAACTGAACACCTATAATTGTACACCTAAAACTCGGATAAAAACATCAAGTCTTTTCGAACAATCCTATGACTGCTTGTAGAAATCCAGAACGTACTCACCCTTACATTATATCCCCAAGCCTTTGGCATAATAATAACTTCTAACAAAAAATGAGAAGCAAACAATGCAGTCAAGTGTAAAGGGAGAAAAAAAAAAGCAAAGACTAGAGAGGTCCACCGCATAGTTACCAGAATTTACTAAACCCCCTGAAATCACAGGGTGACTTAGTGAATTGTATGATCCAGATCACCAAAATGTATGATCCCAAATTGTACACGTAGCACAAATATAAAATACATATTAATTAACTACATATATATAGATTTATAATTATACATTGTTTCAGATAATTAAAATTGAGTACAAATGTAAGATAAATGGTAGCTGACTTAGTGTTTATAAATGTTCTATAATATATAATATTTTATAGTGGTGAAAATGATCTAGATAATAGTTCTAAAACTAATTGCAACCCAAAATACCGTACCAGCTAAGTCTACCCCCATCGTACCGTGTATGTAAGAAAGTGTCATACCTCTTCTATAAAAAGATAAAGAACTAACATCTGATGCAATGTCACAACTTGGTCACCTTAATCATAAAAAATTAAACTACAGATACTATTATAAATACATTGGAACACAATCATAACATGAACATTGGACGTTTCAAAATTAACATTTCCAAAAAACCTCGAACAAACTAAGTTTTTTAATTTTACAAAATTAAAGTCAACCACCGAAAACCCTCCACTGTCCCTCACCAATTTTTCCTATACCTGCTCATTTAAGAATTAACTTCAGAACTAACGGGTCTTTGTCTAATGGTACTCCTTGTCTTGTGAAGAATTTGTCTTCTTAAGGTTAAAGGTTCAAACCCCATTCCCCTCCCCCAAAAAAAAAAAAAAAAATTAACTTCAGAAAAAACATCCACAGGCTCTTGATAATTTTACTGTTAGGGCAAGCTTATCAATTTGTTTTGCATAGAAATGCAGAATGTGCATGCTGCAAGCTATTTACAGAAAACAACAACAATAAACAGGACAAATCGAAAGATTTCATCATCACATACCGTAGTTAATTTGTTTTAATGTGCCATCAATCTGCATAAAGTAAGCCTGCAATATACACATACACACTTTCTTAAGAATCTACTTTTCATAAAATCTGATGATCAAGTAGGTCAGTGTTATAACCTCAAGCAAACATCTCAAGCTCCTCAATATCATTCTCATCTCCCCGAACTGTTGCAACACTTGCCCTACTAGCCCTGGATATCTTTGAGCC